TATTCCACCAACGTATTATCTCTACCCTAAGAATAGCTGATGTACCGATGGAGTCTGGCAATAGCCTAAAAGCAGTTAAGATGCGAAGTATGCAAAACAAGACAGATGAAAGAGAAGCGTTTATGAAATGCTATCACAAAATGAAAGAGAATAAACAAGGAGATGTATGGATCGCTAAATCTACGTCTGGTGCTAAAGGTGGGTCATGAACTTGATGTTCATCTTTTAATACTAATAATAATAATGATGAAAAAGGATAGATATGATGTAGATTTATAAGAATTCTGTGCTAAGGTCTACTGTGTAGTTGTAATAGACCATTTTCCGTTCACTGCGAGAATCACGCGTTATGCGTGAAATCGAACGTAAAAACAGGACAAACAAAGGTCATAGCGTCGTAGTCGCGTCAAACATCGCGTGGGATTCGATAAACGCAAAAGTATTTCGGGGACATTTCCATGCTTAATAATGTGCTGTCCACATTTGATGATAAGCAATTTCGATTAAGTAAGGGTATTCGGAAGCAATATTCCTCTGTCGAAGATCGGCCGGTCAATGTAAGCTATGAAATAAAGAAATTCTAGTTCAAAATCAAATCGTTCGATTTTTGCGGCAGACGTTCGACGCGCGTCATTCATGCATCTCGCGAGATCTCGCAATTGTACGGAAAATCCCCTACTCCTCATTTCAAATCCTTTAAAAACAGTATTTTGAAAGATCTAAGTCTTATTCTTGTTAAATATTTTCAGTCAGGTGCTAGGGTTTCTCAAATTTGTTGGTCACTCTGAGATCCACAATTGATTCAAGGATGCTTTGAATAGTGTCAAAATTGCTTACTGGCAACACAGATAAAACACCAATAGTATTGTATGGAGTCATTCCTTTTGCCTGTCGACATCAGAGCAGGTAATCATCACTAGAGGGCGCTACATACTTGAAAGGTTCTATTGCTTTACTGCAGTCGTGCAACTACAGGGCTCATACCACTAATTGAATTTTCATAGACGACAATGTTAACATATGACGAGATTGCTATATGAAAATGACGAAGAAAGTTGAAAATATGGCTCAAAAATGGGAAATCAATATGCCAGTAATCAACCATATGAAAAAAACTAACATGTTGGCCAGCTCAAACTCTTGCAAATCTCAGGTAAACAAGACACACCTACTGTATTTGGATTGCACCAAGAGAAATCACTGGAAAAACACCAAGATTAGAACATCCAAATACACACAGAATAAACCCACAGGTACACATCCGCTAAGTAGTAAACAAAAGACCACATGTTTGTCTCACCTCTGACCCAGGTGATTACGCCCTCAAACAGGGAGCACCTGAGAAAAAAAATATTTAAAAAATGTCATTGGTTCTTGCTAGGCATTTAAATTGAGGGCTACGAGCAGCCATTGGTTAATTAGTGGCATGAGACCTACATAATACTAGTAGTTGTGTTCAGCCTACACTCTAGCACAGAAGACATG